TGTCCTGCAAAGCGGTCACCCAGTCTACGCTTTGTTTCCCCAGTGTAGACAGACCACATTGTGAGCAGCGAAAACATTAGACTAGATAGAATGAAGTGCAGGTGAAGTGATTCTTCATCTGGAAGGTGTGTTTGGGCCCACGAATGGTTAGGAGGGAGGAAGTAAATAAGCAAATGTTACACCTTCTGTGATGGCATGGGAAGGCACCGTGGGGCTATGGGAAGGCGTTGGGAGTGGGGTAGAAGTGGACCATGTTGTCCCAGAGGGAATGGACCTTGTAGAAGGCTGACAAGGGAGCGAGAGAAATATGTGTCTGGTGGTGGCCTCCTGGTGGAAGTGGTGGAAATGGTGGCTAATGATCCTTTGGCTGTGGATGCTGGTGGGATGGTAAATGAGGATGAGGGGGACCCTATCGCTGTTAACTCCCATAATTTTGATAGAGGAAAATTCAGTTTTGGTAATGGCATTGAATGTAAAGGGGTGATGGTTAGATTCTGTGTTGTTGGAGATTATCTTTGACTGGCATTTGCATTGCACAAATGTTGCTTGCTTCTTTTCTGCCAAAGCCTGGATGTGTCCCGGTCTTGCTGTATATGGGCTCAGACCTGTACAGTATCTGAATTGACATCAATAATGCTAGACATTGTGCAGTCATCAGCAAACATCCTCACTTCTGACCCCATGATAGAGGAAAGATCATTGGTGAAACAGCTGAAGATGGTTGGACTAGGACACTCCCTGAGGAACTCCTGCAGAGATGTCCTTGAGCTCCAACTAATTGACATCCAACTGGCCACCAGTGTGCTGGGTATACTCCAACCAGAGGACACCTTTCCCCCATTGACAATTCCCATTGACACCAGTTTTGCTAGGGCCCCTAATGCCACACTCAGTCAGCTGCAACCTTGATGTCAAGGGCAGTCACTCTTACTTCCCCTTCAGAATTCAACTTTTGTTTCCATGTTTGAAACAAGGCTGTCATGAGGTTAGGAGCTAAGTGGCCCTGGTGGGCCCCAAACTGAGATCAACGCTCAGCAAATGCTACGAGAGATGATCTGAGAGTAGACAGATGGGAGGTAATTGGCTGGGTTGGATTTCTCCTGCTTTGCAGAACATGCCTGGGTAGTGTTCCACATTATTGCCAGAACATTGTCAGGCAGCATAGCCTTTATAATATAAAGTGCTTTCAGCTGATTTTTGATATAATGTGGAGTGATTCTAATTGGCTAAAGATTGGCATCGGTGATGTTAAGGACCTCAGGTGGATGGATCATCCACTGAGCACTTCTGGCTGAAGAGGGATGCAAAATTTCAGCGTTGTCTTCTGCACTGATGTGCTGCCTTCCCCTTTATTCCCCCTTATTGTTGAAGATGGGAGTAATTGTGGAGCCTCTACCTCCTGTTAATTGATTAACTATCAACTACCATGCATGATGGGATGTGGCAGGACTGCAGAACTTATAGGAACCTGTCGCCTTGTAAATGGTAAATGGAAAAGCCCTGGGGAAAATTGATACACAGAGAGATCTGGGTGTTCAGGTCCATTGTACCCTGAAGGTGGCAATGCAGGTCGATAGAATGGTCAAGAAGGCATACGGCATGCTTTCATTCATCGAACGGGGTATTGAGTACAAGAGTTGGCAGGTCATGTTACAGTTGTATAGGACTTTGGTTCGGCCACATTTGGAATACTGCATACAGTTCTGGTCGCCACATTACCAAAAGGATGTGGATGCTTTGGAGAGGATGCAGAGGAGGTTCACCAGGATGTTGCCTGGTATGGAGGGCACTAGCTATGAAGAGAGGTTGAGTAGATTAGGATTATTTACATTAGAAAGACGGAGGTTGTGGGGGGACCTGATTGAGGTCTACAAAATCATGAGAGGTATAGACAGGGTGGATAGCAAGAAGCTTTTTCCCAGAGTGGGGGACTCAATTACCAGGGGTCACAATTTCAAGGTGAGGGGGGAAATGTTTAAGGGAGATATGCGTGGAAAGTTCTTTACGCAGAGGGTGTTGGTTGCCTGGAATGCTTTGCCAGCGGAGGTGGTAGAGGCGGGCACGATAGTGTCATTTAAGATGTATCTAGACAGATACATGAATGGGCAGGGAGCAGAGGGATACAGATCCTTGGAAAATAGGCGACAGGTTTAGATAGAGGATCTGGATCGGCGCAGGCTTGGAGGCCGAAGGGCCTGTTCCTGTGCTGTAATTTTCTTTGTTCTTTGTTCTTGTTCTTGTGTATACTGCTTACACTGTTTGGTATGTAAGTAGTCCTGTGCTGTATATCCTAGGCCTGTAGCATATATCCTAGTATCTTAAAGCAAGTGGCAACAGAGATGGTAGATGCACTGGCAATATTACTCCAAAATTCCCTGGATTATGGAAAGGTTCTAGTGGATCAGAAAAATGCCAATATAATACCCTTATTCAAAATGCAAGGGAGGCAGAAAACAGGAAAATACTGACCAGTTATTTATCATTTGTTGTTGGAAAATTGTTGGAATCATTAATAAAGAAGTAGTAACAAAACATTTGGAAGGTCAAAACGCAATCCATGGTTTTATGAAGGTCAGCGTGATTTTATGGAGGGTAAATCGTGTTTGACTAATTTGCTGGAGCTCTTTGAAGATGTAACAAGTGATACAGATAATGGGGATCTTGCAGATGTAGTATATCTGGACTTCCAGAGGCAATTGGTAAGGTGCTGTACAAAAGGTTAATACACAAGATAAGATCATACGGGGTTAGGAATAATATACCAGCTCGGATAGAGGACTGGCTGACGAACAAAATCAGAGAGTCAGAATAGATCTGTCTTTTTCTGGTTCGCAAGCTTGAACTAGTGGGGTGTCTTCGGGGCCCAACTATTTACAATCTAATTAATAACATGAAAAGAGGGATAGAATGTACTATAGCTAAATTTGCAGATGACACTAAAATAAGTGACAAAGTCAGTTGCAATAAAGAAATAAGAAATTTACAAATGGATCTGGTTAGGTGAATCGACCAAGATTTGGCAGATGAAGTTTAATGTGAATAAATGTAAAGTTATCCATTTTGGTCTGAACAATAGAAAGACAACTTATTATCTGAATGGAGAGAAACTTCAGTGCAGAGGGATGTCCTCATGCATGTATTGTAGGAAGCTAGTATACAGGTACAGCAGGTAATAAGGAAAGCATGTGAAATTTTGGCATTTTTTGGCTAAAGAAATGGAGTATAGAAGTAGTGAAATGCCGTTGTAATTGTACAAGACACTGGTGAGACCGCACCTGGAGTGCTATGTACAGCTTACTTGAGAAATGATGGAATTGCTTTGGAAGCAGTTCAGAGAAGGTTGACTAGATTAATTCCGGAGATGGAAATCTTGTCTGTTGAGGAGAGATTGAGCAGTTTAAGCCTATACGCTCTGGAGTTTAGAAAGATGAGAGGAGATCTAGTAGAGGTATATAGATGCTAAACGGGATTGACAAAGTGGGCGGAGAGTGGATGCTTCTCTTTGTGGGGAAATCTAGAACAAGAGGTCATAGTTTTAGGCTGAGGATTGGCATATTTAAAGCAAATATGAGGAAGAATAATTTCTCTCAAGGGGTCATGAGTCTGTGGAATTCAGTACCCAGAGTGTGGAGAAATCCAGGACACTGAATAAATTTAATGAAGAGAATGGCAGATTTTCAATTAGCAATTGGTAAAGACTTATGAGGAGCGAGTAGGAAAGTGGAGTTAAGTTGAGATCATCCATGATCGCATTAAATAGTGGCGCAGGTTTGAGGGACAGAATTGCCTACTCCTATTCCTAGTCCTTATGTTCTTACATTTTTATGTTCTTATGTACCTTTATCAGGTTGACACCCAATTTTAGGAATGCCTGGTTCTGCACCTGGCATGTCTTCCTGCACTCTTTACTGAACCAGGATTGACCTGATAGTAATAGTACATGGAAGATATGCCGAGCTATGAAGTGACAGACTGTGGCTAATACAATTCCACTGCTGTTGATGGCCCACAGCATGTCATAGATACCCAGCCATACATTGCTAAATTTGTTTGATGTCTGTCTTATGTGGCATGGTGACAGTGCCACAGAATGGGATTATCTTGTACAATTTCTTGTTCTAGGCACGACGCTTTATCAAGAATATGAAAGTATTTACAGTGCAAAAAAAGATTGACTGGAGTGGTCCCAGCGACGCTGAAATAAAAACCAAAAGAACTTTGGATGCTGTAAATCAGAAACAAAAACCAAAGGTGCTGGAAAAGCTCAGCAGGTCTGGCAGCATCTGTGCAGAGAAATTAGAGTCTGCGTTTTGAGCCTGGGGACCATTCCCCAGAACTGAACCTCAGAAATCAGTTCTGAGGAAGAGTCACCGGACCCGAAACATTAACCCTGATTTCTCTTCACAGATGCTGCCTGAACTGCTGAGCTATTCCAGCAAATTCTGTTTTTGTCCCAGTGATGAGACAATTGGTTGCTTGAATAGATTGGAGATGCCAATGCTGTTCTCCTTGGAGAAGAGAAGATTAAGATGAGATTTGACATAAATGATTAAAATCATGGAGGCCCACTTGAGTAGATAAAGAGCAGCTGTTTCCATTAGTAGAAGGGTTGACTATCAGAGGCCCTCACTTTAGAGGATTGGCAAATGAAGCAATGGCGACATGTGGAAAACTTTTCTAGGTAGTGAGTGATTTGGAATTGGTGGGAGCAAATTCAATGAAGGCCTTCGAAAGAGAATTCAGTAATTATTTGAAGAAAAAAGTTTGGCATGGCTATGAGGGATACAGCTGGAGAGTGGGACTAGATGAGTTGCTCTCACAGACAGTAGACACTGATACAATGGGCTGAATGGTCTTCTTAAATACTGCAACTATTGTATAATTAGAGTTTCTCTAGAAATAGCTGTTGTTATTGGCCTGCATTGGTTACTGAATGATTTTTATTCAGTTGTTTAATTGGAATGACAGTTTATCAAAGTATGCAATTTTTATTTTTTTAGATATGTGCTGTTGAAGTGGAGACACAAGAATTGTTCAGCTCTGTTGCCGTTGTACATGTTGATATAACGGACAGAAACGACAACAGCCCTGTATTTGATCAAGATTATATTTTACTGGAAGTCTCAGAAGACAGTCCAAATGGCTACAACGTGACTTGCATCACTGTAAGAAATTACAGAGAGATTTTACTAAAATATATTTTTAAAACATTTATGTACAGTCTCTTTATTCATCTTTTTATGTTTACAAAGGCCACAGATGCTGATAGCTCAAATTTTCGCAGGATAACCTACCAACTTCTTGGATCTGACAGCGTGTAAGTTTCCTAATCTTTAGATGTAGCTGTTCACAGTGATACTGGTCATTCTGATTCCGGTGTTGAATCACCAATTTTGGCAATTTCATTGCACTCAAAGTGTTGTAGAATAAGTCGGAAGGAAGTATTTACATTTTGACATAGTAACAACTTGTTTATAGACTGACAACCATATTCCCAACAATTGTGATACTACTAATAAAACATTGATACTTATACATAGCATTGTTATATATGCGTTCTGATGAAGGGTCACTGGACTCAAAACATTAAGTCTGTTTGTCTCTCCATTGATGCTGCCAGACCTGCTGAATTTCCCAGTGATTTCTGCTTTTGTTTGTTTTGAATCTCCAGCATCCACTGTTCTTTGTTTTATATTGTGGTCTGAGCCTTCTTTATTTACTGCCAAGTAGTCGGTTACTGGATCAGTGGTTTCCCCATGCAATGGAGTGAGAAGTTCCTCCATGCATTTCTCAATGATGCAATTTGGAGACTTGAGTTCAAATACAAAAGTAGGACACCTGGCATCCTTAGCTGATCTGGCCTTGACGTGACTGCAGTTTGACAGAAATCTGGCTGACTATTAATTGCCTGTGAAGTAGCCCGGCAAACCACACAGTTATATCAAACAACTGCAGAAAAGAGCACAACGAATAAACCGATCCTTGGGTTTACTGAATAAACTGTAGTGGTTCCAGAAGATGGTGCACTGCCCACTTTCTTAAGAGAAACATGTGATAGGTAATAAATATTGGCCTCACCAGAAATGTCAACATTCTCATGAATGAATAAAATAAGGTTGGAAACATAATGATGCATGGTGCCAATTTTGCACTGGTACCAACTGACCACCTTGGCCCAAGCTGATATTTTTTCAAAGACTAAATTCTAAGGCAGAACACTTTGAAAGTCCTTCTAACCTTCAAACTGGGGTATGACATTCAATGGATAAAATTATATCTAAAACAAAAACAGAAATTGCTGGAAAAGCTCAGCAGGTCTGGCAGCATCTGTAGAGAGAAATTAGAGTTAATGTTTTGGGTCGAGTGACCCTTCCTCTGAACTGGTTATATCTGGTTAGACCATCCATCCAAATATTGAAACATAAGAGATTTGCCAACAAAATGCACACTTAAATAAGTTGGTGATCTCATTCAAGCATTCAAAATACTTGACGGGCTCCACAAGGTAGATATAGGAAGAAGGAACAAGAACAACACAGCATAGATTTAAATTGATTTACAAAAGGAGCAAATGTGATGTGAAAGAAAACTTTTTACACAAGAAGTGGCTCAGATCTGGAATGCCTGGAATTTTGGTGGAGGCAGGTTCACTGAGTCTTTAAACAGGCATTAGATGTTTATTTGAATAGAAACAACTTGCAAGGACACAGGAAAAGTCAGGAGAATGGTACTAAGTCATGATGCTCCTTTGGAGAGCTGGTGAGGAAACAATGGGCTAAATGGCATTCTTCTGTGCTGTAACCATGCTGTGATTCTGTGATTCTATTTGCTTTAGAACGGGCAGGATCCAAGTTGCAAAATGATACCTTCACATAAAAAACTGACATCGTTAATTGCTAAGGGTGTTTCAGAGATAGTAGGAACTGCAGATGCTGGAGAATCTGAGATAACAAGGTGTACAGCTGGATGAACACAGCAGGCTAAGCAGCATTCAGAGGAGCACTAAAGCTGACATTTCGGGCCTAGACCCTTCTTCAGAAATGGGGGAGGGGAAGGAGGTTCTGAAATAAATAGGGAGAGAGGGGGAGGTGGATAGAAGATGGATAGAGGAGAAGATAGGTGGAGAGGAGACAGACAGGTCGAAGAGGCGGGGATGGAGCCAGTAAAGGTGAGTGTAGGTGGGGAGGTAGGGAGGGGATACGTCAGTCCAGGGAGGATGGACAGGTCAAGGGGGCGGGATGAGGCTAGTAGGTAGGTGGTGGGGGTGGGGCTTGAGGTGGGAGGAGGGGATAGGTGGAAGGAAGGACAGGTTAGGGAGGCAGGGATGAGCTGGGCTGATTTTGGGATGCAGTAGAGGGAGGGGAGATTTTGAAGCTTGTGAAGTCCACATTGAGACCATTGGGCTGCAGGGTTCCCAAGCAGAATATGAGGTGGTGTTCCTGCAACCTTCAGGTGGCATCATTGTGGCACTGCAGGAGGCCCAGGATGGACATGTCGTCTGAGGAATGGGAGGGGCAGTTGAAATGGTTCGCGGCTGGGAGGTGCAGTTGTTTAGTGCGAACCGAGCGTAGGTGTTCAGCAAAGCGGTCCCCGAGCCTCCGCTTGGTTTCCCCGATGTAGAGGAGGCCTCAACGGGAACAGCGGATACAGTATACCACATTAGCAGATGTGCAGGTGAACATCTGCTTGATATGGAAAGTCTTCTTGGGGCCTGGGATGGGGGTGAGGGAGGAGGTGTAGGGGCAGGTGTAGCACTTCCTGGGGTTGCAAGGAAAAGTGCCGGGTGAGGTGGGGCTGGAGGGGAGTGTG